GTTGGCAGGATATGAGGAAATGAAGCTGCACCCAGACTGTGTTTTGCAAAATGGGTGTGTGTCGTTTTAGGATTCATGTTTTTTTTTGGTATTCGTCGTGTTGTTTACCCGTTTGAGACTACTATTTTCAAAATGTCGAAATCATCCAAATGCAGCTCTTTCCTCCCCAACTGACTGTAGATATTCATCTGAGCGTAAAGCAGCGGCTAAATCAAATCAAACCGTCGGTAGCGCGAAATCATCGCTGAAACGGATTGTACATGCATTCGCGTTATGCGCGTGGCCAACCAACAAGCCTACCTCGTGTTAAAGAAGAAGGCTTGCGCTGTCTTAAGTGAGACAACACATCCATAGATCCTTTTCCAAGGTAAATCTAATTGCTTTTTGGGGCGGAAGTGCCTTTATTTCATACCATTCATTTCACTCATTTGTAAAAACGACGCAAAGGGGTTTGTCCCAAGATCAAGTGCGACAGATCACCGAAATTCTCAAGATCCACACTTCAACACACACGAAAGAAATGATATCAAAATGACGAAGAAACTACCAACGACTGTGTCATGGATATTTATAAATAAACAATAAATCAACGTCCGTCATCCATCCCTGTCAAATCCGGAGGAAGAGATATGATAGAAATAGGTCTCAATAACCACAGCAACTGCCGAAACAATCAGATGGGGCATCGGAACAGAAAAGGAGATATTAATGTGGTAAAAAGATGAGGTTCCACCAAAACCTATGTTAATTTAGTCGAGTTTTAAGGTAACCACGGTTCGGTTCAGTAAAATCAGTTAAGATTTGACAAATAATTACAGAGTAGTAGACACCAAAATCATCAATCCAAGAGAAACACCTCAGCAAGGTTTGGCGTTTCTGTGTGCGATTGCATATATTACTGCTCTGTTGAAAAATATTCTCATCCCAGATCAAATCAATCCGGCCAAATAGTGTGTGTTGGTAACGCCTTGCAAGCGATTGTGGATTGAGCTCGCCCAGAGAACTTACGCCAATGAAGATTCTATGGTAGGTATAATTTCGCCGAATAAATTCCATGACCGACACTGAAACGTCGTCCACTTTAATTGTGCACCACTTCTGCAAACAATTCTCCCGCAAACATGGTCATTTTATTCTCCTTCCCTCCGCTGAATTTGAATAAGGGTTACGCGATGCAACTGAATTGCAGAGTGAATGCCATCCGTTGAAACCCCACATGCTTTGGTTTTCCGGATTAACATTTGGTTCTTTGCAAGGGGATAGATAATCGAAAAGACCTTCACCGGGAAAACTATTTTTAAAGACTCGGCTCTTTTCTGCAGGAGGCATATCCCCCGTGCTAAGTACCTTCCGTAAGGTTATTTGCCAAAAAAATTGCGAAGAATCGCTGTATTTACGTACACACTGATAATCTTCCAGGGGCTAACTCCTAATCATTGATGCCCGATCTCTTGCCATTACTGGTCATGGTTATCGAACTCACAATTAAGACATTTGTCAAACGCTGACGCTGTTTTATAACCTTTTCGTAGTTAGGTGTATTTTTAAAACATCTTATTTTACTATATTCACCTTACTTTTAAATTCATTGGCCCTCGGAGACAATTCCTCTTAATTAGGATTAAATGAGAACATTGGAGGCAGCTCAGTTCTCAATATATTTAGCACACACGACCTCCATCTTATAATGGATCTAATGATTTGCTTTTCTTTAAATTCATCGTTCCACGAAAATGTACGCAACTAAATAGCAGTAGATTTTGACGCCTGGCCATCCGTAGCTAGGCATCTGATTGGTTTAAAACCAACCAATGGGAAAGTTGCCAATCAGACGGCGAAAACAAAGGATCGCCAGTTCCAGACACCACCTATCATGCCAATTCCGGACCCTTCATCCTATCTTGCACGGACTACACCAGAAGCGTAAACACCATCAATACCTATGGGTTACTCTTAGCACAGACAAAACACCAATGTTTCCAAATTGCCATTCGTTGCCTTCACTAGGTATCATTTTTTAACACAAAAAAAACCGAGAGATCGCACCCAAACACGTCCTCCGTTTCCAAAGAAGGAATTTGTGTCCTTTGGCAAACTTGTTTATAGCATTCCGTATGGTGGAAACCCACTCCCATCCCCCTAGTACGATTACACCTAGCTTCACGCTAAAGATGAAAAAATCCATGACAGAATTACCAGATGGAGGCAGCCACTTGACACGCTAACACACGTCCAACCACGACGACTCCTCTTTACGCCTACAACCGCTTAAGAGCTTGAGGCGCAGGAATCGTTACAACCAGCCAGTCTCACTTACCCTGAAACCAGTTGCTGAATGATGGAAACTGTGAAGTTAGAAAACCCATTTCCCGTTTTCGTAGGATTTGAAATTGACACCTTATTTTTTTGTGGACCTAAATGCAGCTCTACGTCCGAGGTATTCCGCATCCGCCGCGCCCTCGAACCTTTCATTAACAGCTAAGCTGGACACGATTTGGAGACAAATAGGTTCCCAACTTGGCTTGTATTCACTCGAGGCAGGCCTCACTCTACGGTGACAATTGTGCAGAACTGTTGGATCGGCCGGTTCACCTGACGAGGACGATCTCTTTCGACGCTGCTTGGGCGCCTCTCATACATGTGCATAGTGATGCCGCACTTACCCCCATTTCGGTTGGTTCAAACTCACCTCACGAAGAAGCCACAAATCCTCCATGACCTCGTGTCCGTCTGCCCGGAGTGAGGGAGTCTTCACGCAGAAATGGCTTTATTTGAGTGAATTTGTACGCATGTGGTTGCGGGTGTGTATGCGAGTATGCGTATATATGTGTGTGTATTTGTGTAGGTTGTCGTTGCTTTCTTCCCGGATAATATAATATAAATACATCCACACTCGCATTCATTCACGCGGGCCAGCAGCACCACCACCATCAGCACATTGAGATATTATTATAGAACAGAAGTGGAAGGAGAGAAAGGGAGGGTGGGACGGACGGGAGATAGGGGCAAAGGGAAGAGAATTCAACAACACACTACAAGCTTCTTTTCGTCTTTCCTCGGTTGCGATAAATAGAGTGGGTGAAGGATTGCATACAAACAAAAGGAGCACAATCAATCAGTAGTGAGTATATCGGTGAGTTAATCGGCGATAAATAGATGCCTCATTTGGTCGGTCCGCGCGCGAACGACAGCAGGAGAGGAGGGAAGGGGAGGGAGGGAGACAGGGCGGAAGGGCCTAGCTCAGCCAGATGGAATGCACACTCACGAGGTTACGAGGAGGTGGCTGTGGCGGAGGAGATAAGCTGACGGAGAGATTGAGTTGAAAGCACCAATAAGAGAACACTAAGAGAGGGGGGGAGAAAGTGGATTAATAGTGTCGGTGTGGTGGTACAAGGGCTGTCTGTACACACACTACGGGGACTCGGGTCCAGATCCGAATCGGTGGATCAACCCATCAGAGGGGATAGGCGATGCTGGCTGCGGTGCTGAGAGACCCACTAGGGTTGTTCGACTGTCCAGGCGTGTTCAGGCAGGACCGATGCACGTGCACATTCTGCCAGACTCCATGACGGCGCGCCCATACCCGTGTCTCCTCCGTCTGCTGCGTGTACAACACGTCCGACCTGAAACGCGGAGAAGGGAAACCGGCCAATAGCATTTGCTTCTGGAAGGGGTTATGAACCAACCTAATCGTGATACACAAGCTCGTAAGCCGTCATTCGGGTAATTACAAGAGACTGTATTGAGCTACCGAGAATCAGCCTCCATGTTGGTGGTATAAGGCTATGATATCAGTCTTCAAGCAGCTTAGCAAGCTACTTCGCGATACCCATACTGGCGATAGAGTAGTGGGATGTGGCTCTTGCAAAGAACAGTAACTCTCATTAACGGTACGAAGAAGGCGCACACCTAAAGGAATTGGCCAGTGACTACGCGCAGAATGTCACAGAAGGAGAATCAGCTGAAGAGCTATCAAAACTACATCGCTCATTAAAGATAAACTCTTATTTAATGTCGCCTAGTAGTCAGCGCTAGAGCGACATAAAAAAGAGCATCGTTTAGTCATTAGCCATGCTTAAAAAAATCAGTCAGTACAGAATATTTCTCAAACAAGACGTGATAGGTGAATCCCATGGTGGTCTACCAAGGTGCCAAGGAAGCGCTGAATTCTGAAGTCTTCCCGATGTGATGGAAAGTCGCCACATTATCCTCTTCCCTGCCTTAAAATTTACTCCAATTTATTCAAAAAATGTTATGATCACGAAAGAGTGATCACAGGAAACGCCGTAGACGATGTTCAAAACAGGATGGGCGCTGGGCGTTGGAGCAATGTTTGTTTCAACCCTAGACAAAGTGCTCCTCAGCGATTCGGTCCTCACTAGTGGCATGGATTTAGTGGGCTTATAAATGCAACTATTTTTTGTCTAGTATGTCTGATAACATCTTTTAAAGGTAACTTGGGCGTCGCAGAAGACATAGGAGCCTGTGCTTGCATAAATAGAGGCATTTTCAATGGTAACCCAATGAGACCAAAAGAATCCCGACAAACTTTTACCATCAAAAGGTTGGTGTGGGAAACATGTATAAACGTGAAATGTCATTGCATTGTCCCTTCTCCGCCTTCCCCTCCTCCCACTAAATGTGACCGGTGTGGAGTATCCAATTGTGGGCATCGATTAAATTGGGGCAGAGTGTGGACGAAACCCCTGTCTTGAAAATACGTCTTCGATTTGAATGTGATCGAGAAACAAATGAATCGATGGTGGATGAATGCGTTGCCAACAGGGATGCTTGCTGATTTATGAGAATGAGGCTCATTCTCATCCACATCCCACCACTTTTTGCATGTAGGAATTGCTGTTTTCGTAACGATAATGGACCGGTCCACAAGCGCTCGTGTTCTACTTTTTCGTTAAGTAAAGCGCAAAAAGCCGGCTCTAATAAGCTCCAAGGTCATCTGTCTTGATAGGGCGTAACTTCCTCACACTCTCGCATTCTAACTGAACAGAGGACGTAAGAGGAAATTTGTGCCTTTTCCCAAAGAATAACCTAAAAGCTTTGAAAAAGAAGAAGGGGAGGAAAACCACTTAACAATTGATCGAAGACACCTCAATAACTGGTCTCCGACATACTTTTTAATTACAGCGGAATACAGGGCATCAAGACGGAGAATGGGTGCAAGTGTATGAAAATGGGAAAAATAAACACCACCCTGCACGCCTAAGGGATATTAGTGGGACACTCCGCAACTTTCATGCACCTCCTTCGCCAAACTTCCCCACACCTTAAGCCAAATTAGGCAGAAAAATGCCAACAACTTAAGGGACTTGACGAATCAGGAAGGGGGATGGCTCAGAAAGTGATTTTAGGGACCGATGTCAAATCCTACATCTCATCGAGGCATTCCGTTTATATATTTTGATCACAGTGGTATACAAAACACAGGGATCAAAGAGGGGATTCAATTTCGGAAAAAATAAAATTACATGATGGAACTTCACATTGAGTTAACTAATGCTATCGAGTAAAATTAAAAGTAGTTTTGTAAAAGTGCGTTTTAAAAGTTCTGGGGAATAAAAAGGAAGGAAAAATGACGAAATGCAATTTTTTCAGCAATATTCAAACTTCACATTTTACTGAACTACTAGAGAAAGCATAACTCACGAACTCGGAGAGGGAGAATATGGCAGATTAATCTTGTGCTCAAGAGGGACCAAGGGGTCAGACTACTTACTTGTCGGTGAACTGGGTGAGCCGGATGTAGGCGATGCAGGCGGCGTCCTCGGAGAGCAGATGGACCGTAGGATTTTGGATGGTTGTCCGAACCGACTTGAACAACGACTTCGGAATGACTGAAAGGCAGTAGAATAGCATAGAGGAAAGGTAGGGAACCGTCTTATGGACCACAGTGTTGGTAGTGGCTGTGCTGTCGAGGGGTGCGGTTGCGAACCGCACAGCGAGAGTTGGTGGATGTATGAGTGATCATGTAATGTGTTGTGGTGGGTCGACACGAAGAGACCACGAGAGAGGAGCTCGAACTAGGGAGGTAAGCACATACACGCACACACTAAAGCTAGCTCGGCGACACTAGATGGGAGTGAGCGGATGAACGCACAGGTGGATGAGTGGATGAGTGAGCGAACGAGCGAGCGAGTGGGGTTAGGTGGCGGCTATGAAAATTACCGTCAAAGTCCTCACGACGTGGTGGTGGAATCTTCGGCTCGTCTAAAACGGTACACACGCACACAGTCACGCAATCTCAACCACAGCAGATGGCAGGGTTAAACGTGGCCAATGCAAGGCTAGACTACTGGTGAGCACTTTCGATGTTAGTGGTCGTTGTGGTGCTGTAAGAGTCGCAGCCGCAATCGGCAGCGCTAATCAGAGGTCAGATAGAAAGAAGGGGAAGGTTGGCTGCGTCTTAAAGTGGTGCTTAAGGGCTAC